AAACTTAAAGGAAAGGTCTAGGTAAGCTTTGCTTAGTTGATACCTATAAGTAATTCTAGTAAACAAAAAACTTTATTAGTTTAGTAAATAAAAAATTATATAATTTTTAAAGAATAGAAAATTTGGGTGGAAGAGTGTCTATAAGTGGTGTGCCCCGTGTCATTTGGAAACGACCATTAAAAAATCCTCATCATATAACATCTGAAAATGTTACACAGCATGAATACATACCATTTCTTGCAGTAGCAAGAGCACTAGGTAATTTTTATTTTCACTAAAACATGTTTCCTTGTTTTTTATTTAAAAAAAAAAATTTTTTTTTAGAACACTTTTAGAACTACTGTGTTATCTTTGTTTATAATATAAGTTAAATGCCTGTAAGTGATATATGAAAAATTTGAAACCTTCATAAATTTTAAAAAAGTATTTTTACTTAATTTTTGTTCAAACACAAATTGTTGTCAAATGTAATAAAACAGATATATATATATATATATATATATATATATATATATATATATATATATATATATATATATATATATATATATAACATTACAATATTTAAACCACTTTAATTAGTCAAAGAAAACTATTTAATATGTTCATACTGATGTTAAAACATGTGTTAATTTTAGAAAGTATTTAATTCTTAAAAGCTATAAAACGGCATTAAAAAAAAATGCAAAGTTGTTTTAAAAATATAAAGAACTTGGGTTAATGTAAAACAAATTCATGACGCTGTTTCGTGTTGATTTATACAGTTTATGAAATAAAACGCATTTAAAATAAAAGGATGCAAATAAATAAAATTGATCTAGTTAATAAACTAAAACAAAACTTCATATTTGCGTCTATAGACCTATACGGGTTTATAATCTATAGACCAAACGAGTAAGATCAAAGCATAAAAACATTAGATACCACTTTTTTTATAAATTATCTTTTCCTGATCAAGCGTACTATTAAAAATTTTAGTATAATTAAGTTTTTCATTTAAATAATTTTTAAACAGATGTTTTCATTCAATTTTTTTTTATTCTAATTGTTTTCCAAAAAAAAGTGAAACAAAAAATTTTGTTTAATAATTCGAATTATAAGAATATGAATACTTATACTAAGTATAAAAATTAAGTTAAAATTATTTTTTTTTTTAAATTTTAGTTTCTAATCACTGTGCACTGCTTTGATGTTTGCAATAGAATGTTTCTTCTTTTAAAACTATTTTCAAGAAAAAATATATAATTCAAAACGTTAAAAAAATTTACAATTTAAGAAAAAAAACCTTTTTCTTCATCCTCCCTTGTTTCATAAAACTTTTTTTAAATTTTTAAATTTTTTTTAAATTTCAAATTTCAATTCACTTATTCAAATTAATTGAATAAGTGAATTTTAAGTTCTCTTGTTCAAATAAATTTCTTTTTAAATAAAATTCCTGAAAACAATTGCGTATTTATAGAAAATGTTTAGTCTAAATGTCGCTATAAATAAAATGAAGGTATAAAAAAATGGTGTCGCGTTTTTTATATTCTATTCAACAATTTTTGTTAAAAGAATTATTAGTTAAAAGCTTATATTATGTGTTAACAACATGTAAGATCTAAATTGAAACACGTCTATGGCTAACTTTTGCGAGTATATTAAATAAATTAATATAATTGTTAAATAAATACTTGAGTAACTGTAAGTTACTAAAGTATTTATTTAACAATTATAATAATTAGAAATTTTATTTAATAAAAACCAATTTATATATATTTTATTATACTTAAGGTAGTAAAAATAATTATATAAAAATGTTTATAAAATAATAATTTAAATCATTATTAATAAGTTAATTTGGAGCAACGTTTCTTTTAAAAAAAAGATAAAAATGCTGTTTTGTTGAAAAAAATAGAATAAAGAAAAAATTCTTTTTAACTTTAGTCTTTTTAATTTGCTTCTACACAGAGATTTAAAGTAATTTAAATTAAAAAGTGCTTCATATTGAATAAAAAACTCCACGCAAAAGAGCTGATGATCATACTTCTATTCAAAAGATAAACTTTGCGTGACGTACTTTACTATGAAAATATTACTTTTAAGAATTGGAATCCGAATCAAATCAGGCGTTGATTCGCAAAAGTCGAATCTCGAAACTCGAAATCAATATCTATATTTTATCTCGAAATCAATATCTATATTTTAGTTAAAGTTAGGTTTCCTCAAAATGGTAATTGGACTCATGATTCAATTCAATTTGCAAATCAAGAATTTGCTTGAATCACGGTTCGATTCAAAACTAAAAATTCGCAGGGCCCTAATATATATATATATATATATATATATATATATATATATATATATATATATATATATATATATATATTGCTTTGAAAAAATCATAATTTATTTCTAACTAAAATATATATAATCATTTAAATTTTAAAAGACATCCTTAAAGAGTTTAATATATATACAATTAAATCAAAACTTAATTTGTTATTTTATACTTAAAAAAATTTTTTTTTAAGTATAAAATAACAAATTAACTAATAATGTATCGTGCTGCACCGTTGAGACCAGATGAAAAAAAAGGGCTCTCTAACTTATCAAGAATGTGTCACTCTGTTAGTTACATGGCTTTTTAATCACATTTTGGATGCAGCCAAAATGTGATTAAAAACTACGTCAATAGTCCTCGTATGTATAGAATAAAAAAAATCCCGGGCGTCCATCAACATTAAGTGATCGTGATAGGTGAAGGTTGTTGAGACAAGCTTTAATTTCTTCATTAACTGCACATCAAATTGGTGCAGAAGCAGGTGTGGTTGCTAATTTACATACAGTTCAGCAAGTTATAGTGCTTTTCTTCTTTTGCACAAAGTACTTTAGCGAAAACCGCCTTTGGCAACAGAATACATAAACAATCAAATAACTTTTGCAAAGGACCATGTAACATGGAAAGAAGTGGCAACGAGTAGTATTTTCTGCCAAAAAACAATTTTGTCTTGATGGGCCGGATAGATGGAGTTATTATTTTCACGATTTGCGTAAAGAACCAGTGCCATAGCGACAACGTCAAATGGGTGGTGGTGGTAATTTTGGTGTGTGATTGGGTATTTGGGTATCATAATAAATCACTTTTAGTGACGGTAAAATTAAGGCTATAGATTATCTTTTAATTGTTACACAATTTTTACAACGTGAAGCATCTGTCATTTGTGGTGGAAATTTAGTTTTTCAGCAAGATAATGTGTTCATACAGCTAATGTAGTAAAGGATTATTTCAACAGCAGTAAAATTGAATCATTGAAGTGGCCATCTAGATCTCTATTATTGAGAATACTTGGGCACTGCTGTCGCATATAGTGTTTGAAAGAGGTAAATTTAGTTTACTAGGTGACTTGAAATCATCCATTGCATCTGCATGGGATGCAATTGACATTTTATACATTAAAAAGTTGTATGATTCTTTACCTTCTAGAATGATTAAAGCGTTTCAAAAAAATGGTACAAGTACCCACTATTGATTTTTTAAAATTGAGACATCTTTTTTTATAAAAGACAATTTGTGTGAATTTTTTTCCAAAAGTGTATAATTTTGTCGCACTATAAAAACAGTTTTTTTTTTTTAACAAAATGCGAGTTAGGTTTAAAATAAATTTTTTAAAATGTTGTTTAGTCTTGTAAACCCTTTGCTCTCACTTACTATAAAAATTAGTTTTTAAATATAAATGTATAGTAGATTTTTAAAATATTTTTTGGGTGTATTACATCGTGCAGGGTCATTATATCGCGCAGTGTAGCAGTTTTTAGTTATATAAAAAGTTGTTCACACGACATCAAAAATTTTGCATTTTAAATAAAATTTAATGATAAAAAAAGTCAGGAATAATCATGAGTTTTAAAAACTTTTTCAAAAAGAATAATTCATTTTTTTTTATTTTTATTTTAGCTTTTTATGTCACTTATCTCCATATCAGTGTTTTCATCTGAATTCTTTAATTTTTGCGCTTTTAAAAAAATCTGAGCAATTCAATTTTTCTTTATGACAAGAACATTGATTTGTTTTACCGTTACAGCTTCAGCTAACAAAATCAAAAATTGCATCAAACATATGCTGGTTCTTTAGTTCGATGTTTATCTGACTATTAGTAGTTTGTCACCCATTACCAACTAGGCTATTAACATTAATCCACTGTGTCAAGCATCTTTTCCATATGTAAGCCACAAAGAGCATCATTGCTGGGAGGTATAAATATTTCTCCGTACTTTCCTTTCCTAAAAAGCTAATAATGAGGTTAGTGTACTTCAAATATATTCCTTTCACCATATGCATGGTAGACAAATTTTTAATTTTATTACGTGTTTTTTCTTTTGCAAACATTTTTAATCTTTGTTGTATATAATGACCAAAAGACCTGTTGAACTTTTATTATGGCAGCAAGCATATCTGGTATAATTATCATTATAAATATCTGGTGTAATTTGTGACAGTAAATGTTTCACTTTTTTTATACAAGCAGTCTTTGATTACTTTTCGACAAATTAAATCGTATGAATTTTCATAAATGAGAAGATTTTCTAGCAGTATTATTTTAAACACACCTTACGCTTTTGTAACAACGTGAATGAAAACAAACTTGAATAGCAGAACAACCTTTAAAAGAACCTTGCACATCTCTACCTATTTGCAATAGAAATTTGTCTTACTTTTATATTCAGCTGCAAGTCACAATTTCCCAGCATTGTAAGTTAATGATTGAATTATTTTTTAGATTTTGAATATTTTTACAAACCTTTTTAAATAAGATATTAAATTAAAAAAAAATCTAATATATTTTTTTAATCATTCAATACAAAACTTCACAAATATTGTATAAGATTATACTCTTTTAACAAAATCATTTCATAAAAGGGTAAAACACTTTGAAAATGAAAAGAAAAAAAAACCATATCTTAATCATAGTATATTAATGTAATTTATTATTATTATTATAGTTTATTATTATTATTATTATAATTTATAACTACTATAATTGTAACACGATATATATGAAATATATAATTGTACTGTGACATTAATGTTAGCAAAATTTAAAAAAACACAAAAGAAAAGATTGAAAATTGCTAATTACGTTTTGCAACTCAAACCTAATTAAAAGTAAAATAACAGATAATCCATATCCTTGGTAAAAAATTAGCAGACTTGAATATTTTTTTCATTAAATTTGACAGATAAAAAGCTTTTAATTTTTCTTTTTAAGTTACAGGTATATGTACTGCAAAAACACCAAAAAAAGCACATCTCAATAACTTTTTTATTATTTGCTTTTGAGAAAAACTGTTTTGAATGTATTTAGAGTTGCTTAAAATCAGTTCTTCCCAGCTAGTTTGATTAATTTTTAAGAAATAGTTTTGTTATTAATGTTAACTAAACTTTTGTTGTTTTTGTATGTGTACCCCAAAAACTGCATTCAATTTATCGATTGTATCTCTGCAACTAGTGAACCTATGAAGTTGAAATTTGGTGTGTCCTAATTTTATTTGATCTGCTTTAAATAAAACCAGTTACTGCTAACTTAATCTTGGAGAAAATACCAGATGCACCACAAAAATCACAAGATAGGTACCTTAAAAACAACATTGATGTTTTAAAAATAACATTTTATAGGCTATGCATGTGTTCTCGCTTTTTACTATATTGATTCTATGTAACCTCATGATTCTAAAGATGTCATTGCAGTGTTTTAAACAAAATTTGCATTGTGTTTTTTACGTATTAAAAATCGATATCATTTTTAGAACATAATAGTTGCAAGAATTTATTAAAACTTACTTAGTGTTTGAACCTAGAGCAAAATCTAAGTTTTCACTTGAAAGTTGTTTTTTAGTATTTAGATATGTTCTGTAAGCAACTAATGTACTCTAAAATGTTTAACAATAATTTTTTTAATCAAATAGTTAGAAAAAAATTAACATAGAAAATGAAGCGAAAATTTCAGCTCAGACAGGAAAAATTACAATCTATTCGTGGAAAGCCTGAAGCATCAACTTGGAGGAAGTTCAAAGATGCAAAGAATTTACAATTAGAAAAGGCAGTACAGTTTTGTATCGACCACAGCGTGCGAGGCTTTAAGGCCTTGAAGACTGGTTTGTTTCCACTAGTAAAAGATAGAGAAACGATTAATAGAAGATTAGACCGAATAATAAAAAATGGTAAGTATAAATTTTTTACAGAATAATGATTTAATTTAGTTAGATATCTAAAGAGCTTTGGTTTTTCCTAGGCAAGGAACGTCGCTATTGTAGTTTATTTACTCTTGAAGAGAAGGAGGCTGTAGTGAAGTATGTCAAGAACAGGAATAGAAGTCTGCAAGGTATCAACAAGACAGAGTTGACCAAACTCCTTGATATTTTAAGGATAAGGGACTACATGAATAAAAGATGCAAAGGAGGTCGGAAGTTGATTAAGTTGTCTCCTAATGCAAAATCAGCTCTGGTTAATGGGAAGTAAGTCTAATGATTTTTTGTTGATTTTCTGTTCATGTTTGATCTAAAGAAAAAATGAAATTTACATAATCAAAATTACTCAATAGTAATATTTGTAGCCTTGCTTTTTTTTATATATATATAGCAGTGAATGTTGATCATTTGTAAGTGCAAGTCAAATATTTAGGGTTATTTCTATAGAATATTTTAGACCAATTTTTATTGTTTCAGACTTAGTCGTTCATTTTGGACACGATTCCATGCAAAGCATTCAAGCCTAACAATTAAACGCCAGGGTCAGGTATTAATAAACAGAGCACTTAACTGTACCCGAGAAATGGCTTGTAATCATTTGAATGATCTTGCAATGGAACTTCAGGCAGCTGGTATTATGAAAAATGCTAAAAAAGTAGACGAGGGTGTATGGAAGGGTGACATTGACACAACAAGAATATTTAATGATGATGAGACACCGGAATTTGTGAACTATGGTGTTGATGGTACTTCAACAGGCTTGGTATATGCAGGGAAAGGTGAACAATGCTTAAAAATGCATAAAGAAAACAGGGAATGTGTTTCAATTTTCCTATTTGTGTCTTTTTCAGGTGATGTTTGTATATCAAGTAATTTTTTCCTCGGTTGGAATAACAAGCCAGATGACACCACAAGTAGCTGTAGAAAAAATCAGTCACCTCCTTGTTACAACATCTGAAAATGGGATTTCAGATAATGACACTTTTAAGGCGGCTTGCCAAGAGTTTGATGATTTCCTTACTGAGAAGGCAATAGAACGATCTGTTATTTTATTATCTGATGGACATAGTTCACGATTCAGTTATGACGGTTTAATATACCTCCTTTCAAAACAAATTTGGTTACTAATTTCTCCTCCCGACACTACTGGTGTAACTCAGTTGCTTGACCAGGTTAATAAAAATCTTCATCATGAGTACAGAATTGCCAAGAATTATCTTTTCAATCCAATTCAATCAATTAATTGAGAGGGATTTATGACCATCTTAAGCAATATATGGGAGAAATAGACATCAAAATCGGTTCTTGTTTCTAGTGCAAAAAGAGTTAGAATAACATCTTTTGAATTAAATGTTAAATTTATGCAACAAGATAAATTTGAGCGAGCTGCTGCACGCATTCATAAAGAAGAACCAGCGTCAACTTCTTTTAAAAAACCTGAATCAACCATTTCGTCACCAGTTCGTATAAGGAAAGGTTCGGCAAGTTACTGGAAAGATAAGTTTGACCAGTCTTAAATCTTGATTAGAGAAATGGCTGAGCAAAGCCTCCAATTAGAAAATATTCCTGATCTGCTAACTATTAATAAAATTAAACCAAACCTTGAAAAATTTCTACTCGTGTTACTCAGGTCTATGGTTCGATGCGTGCAAAAGATGTTGCAGCAAAAGTGAAAGATATAAAAGAAGAGAAACGACAAAAGATAACAGCCAAGGAGGAAGCCAAAAAAAAGAAAGAAGAAGCTAAAGAAAAGTTTATTAAATGTAAAGTTGAATGTTTTTGCAAACAAAGGAAATGTCAAGCTTTTGGCCTAAAGCAATGTCCTAATTGTCTTGATGTTCTCCGTTCAATTTGCAGCAAAGTGAGTTGCAGAGTTGATGGTGTTAAACCGGTTATGCTTTTACCAGCAAACCAGCACTTCTCCACATCTAAAAGACTGATATACGACCATTATAACGAATGCAACGACAATCAATAATCTGTTTTTGAATTAAAGTAATCAGTTAAAGTATTTTATTTATCTATTTTATCTTAACATTTTATATATCTATGTTATCTTAACATTGTTGCAGTAACCTATTGTTATAATAATGTTATAAAGTTTGCAGCCATTTTAGATGTGTTATTACTGCTGCGTTCAAATATTGTTTTTAAGATAAATGTATATTATTTTCTTTAAAAAAAATCTAATACAATGGTAATTTATTGTTTTTGTTTTTTATTTCAAAACATGGTCTGTAAAGTGAATTCTATAAAATGTACCCCAAAACTTTTTTTCAGTATCTATTTATAATCCATAGGTAATAAAAAAACTATATTTAGCTAACTTATTCTCTGATACGGCTTCTAGGCTCCACAAAACAAAAAAAACTATACGTTTTTATAATTGAAATTTTTACTCTAGTGCAGATACCAACATATTTAACATATAAAAAACCACTGAAACTGCTTTAATTTATATGCTGACATATTAGCTATCATTATATATCAAGTTTTTTGAATCCTGAATTTTTTTTTACATGCTAGGTCACTTAAGCCAACATTGTGGTTTTTGCGGTACGGTTGTTTTTGCGGTACGTATACCTGTAAAAAGTTTATTAGAATTTACTAAAGCTAAAATAGTTCCTGTCGTAAACATTTTTAATGTTTATCTTTGTTTTTTCGACTCTTATAAATCTAAAACAATTTGTTTGTGATGTTGTACTTTTTGCAAATACTTTTCTGTTTAAATTTTAATCTCTATACGGTTGACAAAATTATGAAAATAATTTAAAAGAAACTCTAATAAATTTAAAAAAGGTCATCATGTTTCACATGTTTCTTTAAAATGAATCAAACAAACTTTACACACAAAAAAAAAACAATGTTTGCCTTTTTTTTATGTAATATTTTGCATAAGACTACTATATTATTTGTTTTATAAAAAATGCTTTCGGTAAATCCGTTCCAATTCACACGCATATTAAAATGTCGAAAATTGATAAATCTCGAAGACAGCCCGGTGAATGAAAGTTTAGAACAGAAAATTACTTATCGTAGGCAAACTAAGGCGTTTTATATTATAAACATTTATGTTTTCGTTTCACTAAATGTTAACCCACAAGTTTGTGAAATATTTACAAAGTTCTCAGGCAAATTATTAATGTAAATAATAATTAGTGTCCCTGCGGCAAACCACTGAATATATACTTCTAAGATGAGACAATTTCTCCCATAACAACCTATTGTCTTCTATTTTTAAATTTTTCACTACATAATACCTTGAACTCTTCCATTTTTATTATTTAGCGAAATCGGATTGCAGTTTATTAAATTTGACAATTATCTTTCTATGGATAGCATATCGAATTGTAGTATTAACACCAAGTTGAGAGTTTATTTATTTCTTGTCTTAATTGAAAATCGAACATTCTCTCTGCTTTGGATAGATCAGGTGAAATGTATTTTTAAGGTTACTATGGTTTCTTAATTTTTTCCGTCTCATTCTAGCATTTTCTAGTTCAACTAAAATTAGACCCGGTATTTTTTTTTGTTTTGACCTCAATCATCTTAAACTTTTTGTTTTGACCTCAATCTCTCAAACTTTTTGTTTTGACCTCAATCATCTCAAACTTTTTGTTTTGACCTCAATCATCTCAAACTTTTTGTTTTGACCTCAATCATCTCAAACTTTTTGTTTTGACCTCAATCATCTCAAACTTTTTGTTTTGGCCTCAATCATCTCAAACTTTTTGTTTTGACCTCAATCATCTCAAACTTTTTGTTTTGACCTCAATCATCTCAAACTTTTTGTTTAACACCAGCTCAAGATTTCTAAATAATTCTGCAATTGTTTTATTATTTTTTTATATTAAAGATTTTTCTGATTTTTTTTAATGATTACATTTTTGGCTCTTAATTCTTTCAATTTTTTTATTGATAGCTGCATTTAATACCGGTAGTTGCAATGGTGATCGTTTTTTATCTGCGTTAGTTATCTTTATTATTATATTTATTATTGGTAGTAGTATTTAACCGTTAAATGATTGAACAAAAAACAATGTAAAGTGTATTTTTTTGTAGGTGATTTTTGGAGTTTTGATTCTGAAAGAAATGAATTCATTGTATCTCCAGAACCTGATATCAATTGCATTGACATTGTTCCAGATATTCATAAATTTCTCATTCTAGCAAGTGATGGTTTGTGGGGGGTAATGAATGCAAAGCAAGCTGTAGACATAGTAACAAACTACGAAAGAAACGCTGATGAAATGCCTTTAGAAAGAAACTGTGCAACTGTGTATTGTTTTTTTTTCCTCGTATATTTGTGCTTCTATATATTTTTTTATTTAATTATTTTTGTCTATATATTTTTATATGTTTAAATAGACTATGCAACCAGTCACTGGAGTTATGGAAAAAACGTCGTTGTCGGGCTGACAACATCTCCGCTGTTGTACTGTTTTTCGATGAAGAGTTTGGTAGTTGCGATCCTTTATACTATGATTCAGAAAATAGCACTTTAAGTTTAGAGGATGAGGAAGATACACCGCCGCTATTTGATACTTTACCTCCAGTTTTAGTGCGTAATTTAGACTTTCAAGAAATTCCACTTTCTGTTCATTTGCCTGTCAAGATTTCGTCAGGATTATCTCAGAAAAGGAATTATAAGCACAAACGTAAGCACGAGGAAGATCACAAAGGAAGCAAGTTGAAATATGTTAAAATAGGACTTGATGATAATATTAAAACTGATGTTAGCCCTGAAATTTTAAACGAATTACATCTTAAACAATAAACATGCAATTATTGCAATTATAACCCCGCCTTTCCTTTTTTTAGATTAAAAAAAAGGCAGCATGCAAATATTAAATATTACTGATTTGACACTGACATTAGTTACTTACTCTGACAACCCAACAACCATTTGTTTTTAAAAGTTACGTTATGAACGCCTTTTAAACGTCATCTAAACGTTCAAACTTTAGAAAGTGTTAGAGGAAGTATCTAATCTTTCTTATGTCAAAATTGTTTTACATTTAATAACAGCAGGAAAACCATGTGAATAAATTAGTAGAATATGTTAAAAAAAATAAAATAATGAAGTGTAACTGGATATTGATATCCAGTTAAACGTCTGGATTCTTATTGAAATCTTTTTTTTCTGTATATACTTGGCAATATAGCAAGATTTATTGTTAAAGTGCTTCATAGTAACATTATGTCTGACGTGCAAATAGTTTGATTTCTCAACAGGGTTTGTCTATAGATTATTAATGTTCTATATTTTGAAGTTCACTGTGGAAAAGTTTTATAACGTTTAAAAATCTGGGTGGTTTAATATTTTCATCCTTTTTTTAAAGATTGTTAAAAAATGTGAGCACGTTTTTAAAGTTTTGGTTTATATCTTTGAGAAATAATTCAAATGTTGATGGTGCACTTCATAAATCAATACATTGCAAATGATGCGTTGTTTCCTGAAATAAATATGCACGAGATCTTGACTGAAGACATGCATTCTTTACAATTTTTTAAAAAATATTATAGAAAAGTATTTAACATAGCGCCTTTAATCATATGGTCAGCTGTACCCTAAAAATGAAGTGCATAAAGGAATAATTGAATTACGGCAACAGTCCAATAAGCTTGTTTTATTTAAAGGTTTATAAAAAATATGCAATACTATTTTTATGTGTCAAAAAAAAATTTAACTTCTTTATAAAATAGTTTTTTCATTAATGAAAATTCCAAATAATCTCATAATTTGATTTTATTTTAAAATAGTTGAAAATTTTAAATTGAAAACCTATATTAATAATACAAAAGATATAGGGTAAAAAAACCAGTGTTCGCCACTTTTTCAGACGTAGTCCGATATAAGTATTTATTTCTCACTCGTTTTTACATAAATGATAAATATTTTAATCTTAGTTTTGTTATCGGAGGTAATTTGTTTTATCTATTTATATCGATAGTTTTAATCGGTAATTTATTTTATCGATCTCTATCGATAGTTAGTTTTTATGATGGCCATAAAATAAATTTCCTCCGATAATAAACTGGGAGCAATAGTACCCGTAAGAGCCAAATGGCGACCAATAGCATGAAACATATGTTCGCCATTTGTTTTGTTTAATACTACAATTTGTTTTGTTCGCCACAATTCCTTTTTTTTTTAAAAAGGTTTTTTTCTTTTTAATAAAGATTTATTTTCAAATCTAAACTATTGTTAAAGAATCAAAGTTTTTTTTTGTTTTTTTTTTTCATTTTAGTTACAAATTAAACTAGAAATCATCGGTCATTTCATTGCGTGCGATCTAAAAAAAAAGAGAAAATAACATTAATAAATAGGCATCCTATGATTCAACCGAATCCCTAATTTCAATTTAGAACCGAATATGAGAAATTAATTACACAACCGAAAATATTTACGAAAAAAATTAGAACCGAAAAAATTTCAATCGAATTTTCGATCGAAAGTCATTAATAATTTTAAAACTGAAAAAATTTCGATCGAATTTTCGATCGAAAGTCATTAATGATTTTAGAACCGAATTTCATTAAAATGGTTTACAACCAAAGGTTACACTGTTATCAAACATTATATATATATATATATATATATATATATATATATATATATATATATATATATATATATATATATATATATTAAAGAAATTTTGATTGTTTATTTTATTGTAAAACGACTAACTGAAAAAAAAAAAAAAAATAGATTAAAAAAAGAAAGGATTTTGTAATTCGATCCTGCAATGAAAGTATACTTTTCGGTTCTAAAATTTTCGGTTGTGAAATATTTCGGTGATATTTTCGAGGATAAATATTTTCGGCTTTATCATGTGACACGAATAAATAAAATGTGGAAATGTTTTATGTATTTTTATTAATTTAATAGAACAACAGCTCGACCATAGAGTAGTCACTTTGAAATTGTTCTTACCTGAATAAGATTGTGTTTTAGATTTTCTTTTTTTGTTTGTATTGGCTTAGTATACACAACTTTTTTTTTTACTGGGGGTTTTGATTTCTTTGCCAACTCAGTTGCCAAGCGTTTGTCTATTCTTTCAACTTTTGCTTGCTCTTGGACTTTCTTTTCTCTTTTATTTCCGCCAGAAGAGATACAACTTGATCGGATGTAACAACGGATGCTGATTGAAGCTCTTGGTCAACAGTGCGAGCTTTAGCTAAGAACAGTTTATAATTGTACGATAAAGAAAATTTATTTTTATGACCATACATATCACTAAGTTCAATATTAAAATAAAATTAAATAATAAGCATTTAAATTAAAATATAATTATTCGTATATGCTCTGAAAAATACAAACAGGTTTCTATTCAGTAGAATTATAAATTATCAAAAGTAGCTACTTCTAGAAAGTGAGTTTTACGAAGACTGGAAAATATTTAACTGCTTATTAGTCTTCCTATTTTATTTTCGTATTTTCACTTTAGGTATATCTCAAGATTTATCATTTGACACCGTTAACCATCAGATTTTATTAGAAAATCTAAAATATTATGGAATAAGTCACAATTATCATAAATGGTTTACCAGTTACTTAACTGATGGAAAGCAGTTTATTTCTCTAAATGACGGTTTTCAGACAAAAAAAACTTAAAATATCATGTGGGGTTCCACAAGGCTCAATCTTAGATCCGCTTCTTAATCTATGTCAACGATCTATTTATAGCATCAAACACTATGTTTATAGACATAGTATTTGATGCTTTATATAGATCGTTGAGATAGTTTAAGAACAGCAACGGACCTAAGATTGAGCCTTGTGGAACCCCACATGACATTTTAAGTTTATTTGTCAGAAAACCGTTTTATTGTCGTCTGCAACTATTTATTGTCTTTTGAAACATAATAGTATACTATTATATTTGCAGACGGCACCACTTTATTCTATTCTCACAGTAACATTATCTCTCTATTTCAAATAGCAAATAATGAACTAGAACAATTATCAAACTGGCTTATAGCTAACAGCCTATCTTTAAACACTGAAAAAACTAAGTTTTCCTTATTCCATTCTAAACGAATGTTTCAAACTATTCTAAAATCCTTACCAATGCTATATATAAATAACATCAAAATTGAGCACTCATTCACAAATAAATTACTTGGTATTTTAATAGACGAAAACTTATTCTGGAGAGACCATATTAAACAAATTAGCAATAAAATCTCAATAAATATTGGTATTTTATTTAAAACCAGACAAATCTTCGACAAATCTACACTAAATCAGCTATATTTTGCATTCATAAATAATTATTTATCTTATGACAATATAGTTTGGGGTAGTACAAATAAATCTAAACTCAAATGTCTCCTTAAACAACAGAATCATGCAGCACGCATTATTCATTTTCAAAATCGCTTCCCAAATGCTAAACCTCTTCTAAAACGCATGAGGGCACTTGATATTTATGAACTAAATATTTTCAAAATTACACAATTTATGTTCCAACATCAGTCAAAAAAACGTCGAAGGTTTCCGGAAATATTTCCCTTAAAACATTAAACCGATACAACACGAGATCTACCGGAAGATTTAAAAAACCTTTCCGTACATCAAAACTTACGAGCTTTGCCATTTCGTATCGTGGACCAATTCTATGAAACATTTTACAAGCCTGAGTTGTAAACTTAAAGAAGCCAATACCTCTCAAAAATTTAAAAAGAACATAATCGAACTTATTGCCAATCAAGATTCCTTTACATGATTTTTTCTAACAATACATTTTTATTTCCCTTTTTATTACCAAAGGCTACTGATGAAAAGTTTTTATCTCCTTCAGGTTCTCCGGTCTCGTAAATTTTATGAATAATGAACTTTATTTGTATTTAACACTTTTAAATATTTTATTGAAAATTACCTTTATTTGTAAATAGCTGCTTCACCAAAAAGAAATAAAAAAAAAATAATTAAAACTAGGCAATTTAAAAAAAAAATGCTTTTTAAAATAGATAGATAATGTTACTGTGAGAATAGAGTTAGAGTTGAAAAAAAAAGAACCGTTTCTCTGTAATATTTCACGAGAATTGGTGTTTTTAAATTAAGTCAAAAAAATGGAACG